ATAATATGAGGTTGACTAACTTAAAATGTCTCCTGGTTCTAATAATATGAGGTTGACTAACTGAAAATGTCTCCTGGTTCTAATAATATGAGGTTGACTAACTGAAAATGTCTCCTGGTTCTAATAATATGAGGTTGACTAACTTAAAATGTCTCCTGGTTCTAATAATATGAGGTTGACTAACTTAAAATGTCTCCTGGTTCTAATAATATGAGGTTGACTAACTTAAAATGTCTCCTGGTTCTAATAATATGAGGTTGACTAACTTAAAATGTCTCCTGGTTCTAATAATATGAGGTTGACTAACTTAAAATGTCTCCTGGTTCTAATAATATGAGGTTGACTAACTTAAAATGTCTCCTGGTTCTAATAATATGAGGTTGACTAACTTAAAATGTCTCCTGGTTCTAATAATATGAGGTTGACTAACTTAAAATGTCTCCTGGTTCTAATAATATGAGGTTGACTAACTTAAAATGTCTCCTGGTTCTAATAATATGAGGTTGACTAACTTAAAATGTCTCCTGGTTCTAATAATATGAGGTTGACTAACTTAAAATGTCTCCTGGTTCTAATAATATGAGGTTGACTAACTTAAAATGTCTCCTGGTTCTAATAATATGAGGTTGACTAACTTAAAATGTCTCCTGGTTCTAATAATATGAGGTTGACTAACTTAAAATGTCTCCTGGTTCTAATAATATGAGGTTGACTAACTTAAAATGTCTCCTGGTTCTAATAATATGAGGTTGACTAACTGAAAATGTCTCCTGGTTCTAATAATATGAGGTTGACTAACTGAAAATGTCTCCTGGTTCTAATAATATGAGGTTGACTAACTGAAAATGTCTCCTGGTTCTAATAATATGAGGTTGACTAACTGAAAATGTCTCCTGGTTCTAATAATATGAGGTTGACTAACTGAAAATGTCTCCTGGTTCTAATAATATGAGGTTGACTAACTGAAAATGTCTCCTGGTTCTAATAATATGAGGTTGACTAACTGAAAATGTCTCCTGGTTCTAATAATATGAGGTTGACTAACTGAAAATGTCTCCTGGTTCTAATAATATGAGGTTGACTAACTGAAAATGTCTCCTGGTTCTAATAATATGAGGTTGACTAACTGAAAATGTCTCCTGGTTCTAATAATATGAGGTTGACTAACTGAAAATGTCTCCTGGTTCTAATAATATGAGGTTGACTAACTGAAAATGTCTCCTGGTTCTAATAATATGAGGTTGACTAACTTAAAATGTCTCCTGGTTCTAATAATATGAGGTTGACTAACTGAAAATGTCTCCTGGTTCTAATAATATGAGGTTGACTAACTGAAAATGTCTCCTGGTTCTAATAATATGAGGTTGACTAACTGAAAATGTCTCCTGGTTCTAATAATATGAGGTTGACTAACTGAAAATGTCTCCTGGTTCTAATAATATGAGGTTGACTAACTGAAAATGTCTCCTGGTTCTAATAATATGAGGTTGACTAACTGAAAATGTCTCCTGGTTCTAATAATATGAGGTTGACTAACTGAAAATGTCTCCTGGTTCTAATAATATGAGGTTGACTAACTGAAAATGTCTCCTGGTTCTAATAATATGAGGTTGACTAACTGAAAATGTCTCCTGGTTCTAATAATATGAGGTTGACTAACTGAAAATGTCTCCTGGTTCTAATAATATGAGGTTGACTAACTGAAAATGTCTCCTGGTTCTAATAATATGAGGTTGACTAACTGAAAATGTCTCTCTGGTTCTAATAATATGAGGTTGACTAACTGAAAATGTCTCCTGGTTCTAATAATATGAGGTTGACTAACTGAAAATGTCTCCTGGTTCTAATAATATGAGGTTGACTAACTGAAAATGTCTCCTGGTTCTAATAATATGAGGTTGACTAACTGAAAATGTCTCCTGGTTCTAATAATATGAGGTTGACTAACTGAAAATGTCTCCTGGTTCTAATAATATGAGGTTGACTAACTGAAAATGTCTCCTGGTTCTAATAATATGAGGTTGACTAACTGAAAATGTCTCCTGGTTCTAATAATATGAGGTTGACTAACTTAAAATGTCTCCTGGTTCTAATAATATGAGGTTGACTAACTGAAAATGTCTCCTGGTTCTAATAATATGAGGTTGACTAACTGAAAATGTCTCCTGGTTCTAATAATATGAGGTTGACTAACTGAAAATGTCTCCTGGTTCTAATAATATGAGGTTGACTAACTGAAAATGTCTCCTGGTTCTAATAATATGAGGTTGACTAACTGAAAATGTCTCCTGGTTCTAATAATATGAGGTTGACTAACTGAAAATGTCTCCTGGTTCTAATAATATGAGGTTGACTAACTGAAAATGTCTCCTGGTTCTAATAATATGAGGTTGACTAACTGAAAATGTCTCCTGGTTCTAATAATATGAGGTTGACTAACTGAAAATGTCTCCTGGTTCTAATAATATGAGGTTGACTAACTGAAAATGTCTCCTGGTTCTAATAATATGAGGTTGACTAACTGAAAATGTCTCCTGGTTCTAATAATATGAGGTTGACTAACTGAAAATGTCTCCTGGTTCTAATAATATGAGGTTGACTAACTGAAAATGTCTCCTGGTTCTAATAATATGAGGTTGACTAACTGAAAATGTCTCCTGGTTCTAATAATATGAGGTTGACTAACTGAAAATGTCTCCTGGTTCTAATAATATGAGGTTGACTAACTTAAAATGTCTCCTGGTTCTAATAATATGAGGTTGACTAACTGAAAATGTCTCCTGGTTCTAATAATATGAGGTTGACTAACTGAAAATGTCTCCTGGTTCTAATAATATGAGGTTGACTAACTGAAAATGTCTCCTGGTTCTAATAATATGAGGTTGACTAACTGAAAATGTCTCCTGGTTCTAATAATATGAGGTTGACTAACTGAAAATGTCTCCTGGTTCTAATAATATGAGGTTGACTAACTGAAAATGTCTCCTGGTTCTAATAATATGAGGTTGACTAACTTAAAATGTCTCCTGGTTCTAATAATATGAGGTTGACTAACTTAAAATGTCTCCTGGTTCTAATAATATGAGGTTGACTAACTGAAAATGTCTCCTGGTTCTAATAATATGAGGTTGACTAACTGAAAATGTCTCCTGGTTCTAATAATATGAGGTTGACTAACTGAAAATGTCTCCTGGTTCTAATAATATGAGGTTGACTAACTGAAAATGTCTCCTGGTTCTAATAATATGAGGTTGACTAACTGAAAATGTCTCCTGGTTCTAATAATATGAGGTTGACTAACTGAAAATGTCTCCTGGTTCTAATAATATGAGGTTGACTAACTGAAAATGTCTCCTGGTTCTAATAATATGAGGTTGACTAACTGAAAATGTCTCCTGGTTCTAATAATATGAGGTTGACTAACTGAAAATGTCTCCTGGTTCTAATAATATGAGGTTGACTAACTGAAAATGTCTCCTGGTTCTAATAATATGAGGTTGACTAACTTAAAATGTCTCCTGGTTCTAATAATATGAGGTTGACTAACTTAAAAATGTCTCCTGGTTCTAATAATATGAGGTTGACTAACTGAAAATGTCTCCTGGTTCTAATAATATGAGGTTGACTAACTGAAAATGTCTCCTGGTTCTAATAATATGAGGTTGACTAACTGAAAATGTCTCCTGGTTCTAATAATATGAGGTTGACTAACTGAAAATGTCTCCTGGTTCTAATAATATGAGGTTGACTAACTGAAAATGTCTCCTGGTTCTAATAATATGAGGTTGACTAACTGAAAATGTCTCCTGGTTCTAATAATATGAGGTTGACTAACTGAAAATGTCTCCTGGTTCTAATAATATGAGGTTGACTAACTGAAAATGTCTCCTGGTTCTAATAATATGAGGTTGACTAACTTAAAATGTCTCCTGGTTCTAATAATATGAGGTTGACTAACTTAAAATGTCTCCTGGTTCTAATAATATGAGGTTGACTAACTGAAAATGTCTCCTGGTTCTAATAATATGAGGTTGACTAACTGAAAATGTCTCCTGGTTCTAATAATATGAGGTTGACTAACTGAAAATGTCTCCTGGTTCTAATAATATGAGGTTGACTAACTGAAAATGTCTCCTGGTTCTAATAATATGAGGTTGACTAACTGAAAATGTCTCCTGGTTCTAATAATATGAGGTTGACTAACTGAAAATGTCTCCTGGTTCTAATAATATGAGGTTGACTAACTGAAAATGTCTCCTGGTTCTAATAATATGAGGTTGACTAACTGAAAATGTCTCCTGGTTCTAATAATATGAGGTTGACTAACTTAAAATGTCTCCTGGTTCTAATAATATGAGGTTTGACTAACTGAAAATGTCTCCTGGTTCTAATAATATGAGGTTGACTAACTGAAAATGTCTCCTGGTTCTAATAATATGAGGTTGACTAACTGAAAATGTCTCTGGTTCTAATAATATGAGGTTGACTAACTGAAAATGTCTCCTGGTTCTAATAATATGAGGTTGACTAACTGAAAATGTCTCCTGGTTCTAATAATATGAGGTTGACTAACTGAAAATGTCTCCTGGTTCTAATAATATGAGGTTGACTAACTGAAAATGTCTCCTGGTTCTAATAATATGAGGTTGACTAACTGAAAATGTCTCCTGGTTCTAATAATATGAGGTTGACTAACTGAAAATGTCTCCTGGTTCTAATAATATGAGGTTGACTAACTGAAAATGTCTCCTGGTTCTAATAATATGAGGTTGACTAACTGAAAATGTCTCCTGGTTCTAATAATATGAGGTTGACTAACTGAAAATGTCTCCTGGTTCTAATAATATGAGGTTGACTAACTGAAAATGTCTCCTGGTTCTAATAATATGAGGTTGACTAACTGAAAATGTCTCCTGGTTCTAATAATATGAGGTTGACTAACTGAAAATGTCTCCTGGTTCTAGGAAAACTGGCATAAAATATTAAACTAGGAAACTTACGAGGGTGACATAACTTAAGAAGACCAGGGTCTCTTGGTTCTGGAAATAGACGAACAACAGGCAGGGGTGGATCAGATAGGCCATGTAGGTCAGACGTCCCAGGACCACGAAGGGTGACCACGACAAGATGCTATTTACAAAACCTGTTGAAAAGATTGATCTTAAGACAAAGGGTAAATGAATAAAAGTGTACTGGTTATTTAACATTGCACACACTATGTATTAATCGCAACAGATTGTAGGAATGTAGTTTGTTAAGTTTAATATATTTTAAGTGATGAAACGCAGAAGAAGAAGTATTTTTTTTTAAATAACTGATAATCAAACTGTGTAGCCTATCTTTGGGAATATTTAACGTGATCTGGGAGACTATTATTCTGCCTTCAGTATAATAACACCTCAAATGCAAACCAGAAAGTCGAATGTGTAAGCCGAAAGATGCAAATATAGCAGCTTTGCTGTAAAGAGGCACAACTCAATTACGTCACTTGGACAAAAGAAGAAAAGAAAATATGCAAACGTTTGTTCTTGTGAGCTGACTGCTTGGTGTGACACTGTGAGATGCCAATTTCATGTGCAATATTTTTCTTTTGTACTGTTGACTGCACTAAAATGACAGATGGCTGTTATGCTCAGAATGGTGTGTAACTTGCGGGTGCATTGCCGGCTTTCGCGACTGACTGTTGGCACCAACAGCAAGCTGCAGTTTTTGGCATAGAACTGTTAATACACATCAAGGAAGATTGACTAAAAAACAGCATCGTGTCTCAGAAGCGGAAATATTCTAGTTATATCAAGCGCCACAACGGATTAGAAAAAATAATAGCAGAGGGCATGATACCAGGAAGGAGGGGCAGGGGCCGACTGACACGAAAATGGGCACAGGATTTAAGTGACTGCTTGAGTATGAAAATACACGAGGCGCGAGAGCTGGCGAGAGACAGAGTTTCTTTCAGGCAGACTGTGATGAGAGCGACGTTCTGCAAAGGACCTGCTAAATGATGATGATGATGGTTGTTAGTACTGGCAAATGTGACAGCTGCCATGTATTTTTGCTTTGCCTGTGCAAGCTTCAGGATTTTTCTGTGATCTACAAGATTTTCACCAGTTTTCAAATGGGTCAGAGAAGTAGATTTTGTGTGATTTCCACTGCCGTCGGAACAGAGCAGTCATGGGGCGAGCCGTCTGTAAAAACTTTGTGTCTTTATTCATTTTGAGCTTATGATGCTAACCCCAAATTTCTACAGTTAAACATACCACAGGGAAACAAATGGACTTATTAGGTGAGCAGGCCTAAAAGAAACCCTAAGATGAACATTAATCAAAAAGGCCAAAGATGCTGGACTGGATTTCATACATGACATTTAAACAACTACCCTCTCTGTGTGAATCTTGGGGCCCCATTTGGGGGGGGGGGGGTAATGGACCCCCTTTCCCACCTCCCAGCCCTTACCCCCCTCACTTCAAATAAAAGTCGACTAATTAGGGTCGTTTCCTTTGAAGTCAGAGTGCATCTGCCTAAACAGCAAGGAACCAGCAGTCTGCATACAAATAAGCCAGATCTGTAAAACAGATGTGCATGCAACAACCAGAATTTTCCGCTAGAGTTTACAGCTGGTGAGCATAAAGAAGAAAAACTGCACAGGATGGAATGAAATCAAACAAGACTGCAAGCTCTATGTGACATATACAATGGCAAAAGAGGATAATGATAATAAAACATAGAGGACGTGATGTGGTCAAAAGAATGAAATGAAACAATAGACCGCGAGTCCTATGTGATATATGGCACACAAAAAAGGATGATGATGGAACATTCTAGATGACTGATATGGTTAAAATCGCATGCACTGAATTTGCTTTCCTAAACAATTCCTAGTACCCATTTTTAGACATGTCGGTGATGAAAATGGGAAGCGTTATCAAAGGAAGAAGTTAGAGATTGCATGGGCATGTTTGCAGAATGCCTCGTGAAACTTTGGCAAGGAGAGCTCTCCAGTTGATGGCAGGTGGAAAAATGAGATGCGAAAGATCTAAGGCAGCAGTTCTCAACTTGTGGGTCGAATGACCCTTTCACAGGTGTCATCTAAGACCATGAGAAAACACATATTTACTGAGGACGTGGGAAGAGCAACATGTGATAGCAAAGGTTAGAACAACTTGGCGTGAGTTGGTTGAGGGCCTGTGCTCCATTGGGAGTGAGACAGGCAGAAGAAAAATAGTTGATGGCAGGTGAAAAAAGGAGATGTGGAAGATCTAAGGCAGTGGTTCTCAACTTGTGGGTCGAATGACCCTTTCACAGGTGTCGTCTAAGACCATGAGAAAACACATATTCACTGAAGTTATGAAGTAGCAAAGAAAGTAATTGTAGGGTTGCGGCTCACGACAACATAAGGAACTGTATGAAAGAGTCGCTGAATTAGGGAGGTTGGAAACCACTGATCTACGGGAACACAACTAGACGTGCACAGGTATAAACAGATCATACTGGTCTGGAGAGAAGGGTATAGCTGCGGGTGACAAGGTGATCTGGTCGACACTCTACATTCAGAGGAAAGGCAACATGGACACATAATCAAACTGCTACTGGCATTACTGGAATTAGAACTCTTTGTTGGCTGCTAAAGATGAGGACTGAGTGCTTACGGGAATGCTCCTGGTGCTGCAATATTAGTTGTTAGCAAAACACTCAACAGGAAACCTAGAAAAGATCAGTTGAAAGGGAAATGAAGGAATGTGAAATGGGAAACCCTGGGCAGAAAAGCAGCAGACTGGCAGCAGACATGATCACCAGAATAATGATCAGTCAGTGTTCTTGCCCTGCCCCCACCCATACTGTCATCATCCTCATGTACCATCTCCTTTGCAGAACATCCCTCTAATCAGGATCTGCCTGGGAAAGAAAACTCTGCATCTTGCCAGCTGTCCCGCCTTGTGCCTTTCCTATCTAAGGTGTCAGTTATATTCTGTCCCCATCTTCCTGCTGGTCGGCTGCTGCCCATGTTTCCTGGTGCCATACCTTCTGCTACTATTTTCTCCAATCCACTGTGACACTTAGTAAAGGACCCTTTTCCCTGCCTTTAGGCGTATAGGGCATATAGGGCTAGACCTATATTTTATAGACCATTCGGCACAAGATGGGTGATGTGGTCAGCATCATGCCAGCCTTTACTTCCTGGGACTGCACCCGGTACCCACTCAAGGCTGGGTCAACCTGGGAGCCAAGGTCATTTTTTTTAAAAGTCCGGCTCCGCCAAGAAGCGAACCCACGACCTTCTGATTCATAGGCGAGCATCTAGCCGCTCCGCCACTGCGACTTCCCCTGTGACACTTGATATGGCCAAAATATTTCAGTTTCCAAGACAGGATACTGTTTACTAGTCAATCTTACTTGATGTGTTCGGATCTTCTAGGATGTCAACATTAGGGATCTGAGCGTCTTTCTAAAGCATTTCAGCTCAAAAGCCCCCATTATATTCCTTGATGACTGCGAGAGAGTCCATGACTAACATCCGTAACCATTTGGTCAAGTCATGTGAAATCAAAATCTTGCATCAATATAAAACAGAAGATAAAAAGAAAATTTACCCCCGTATCCTGAGGCACATGCGATGATGACCCACGAGACACTAGCTCCCCAGGCTGACCTGGCCACTGTGTTGTAGAAAGCTGCCACACTAATACTGCTGATGTTGTCCCCGCTAATGTCACCATGAAGACCATAAACAACTGCCAGGCCGGTGGCTATGGCAACGACCCAGCCAAGGCAAACGACAGCCTGTGAGAGAAATTGATCAAAGAAACGTCTTGCAGCTGATTTAAGGCAATTAATTCATGCATACCCAGATTAAGTCACACACAACCAGGCTAACTGTATGCTATTAAGTGAATTGTTATGTAACCTGGCTAACTCTTTCGGCCCTAAGAGGCTGTTGTTTTAGCTCGGGGCTTTTCAACAACACTGGGAAATAGTCGAGAAAGAGGAGAGCAAGGAAGTATCTGGAATGACAACATCCCACTAAATTCACAGATAACAAGGTAAATTCACATATAACCAAGTAAATTCACATATAAACAGGTAAATTCCCGTATAACCAAGTAAATTCACATATAACCAAGTAAATTCCCATATAACTAAGTAAATTCACATATAAACAGGTAAATTCCCATATAACCAAGTAAATTCACATATAACCAGGTAAATTCACATATAACCAGGTAAATTCTCATATAACCAAGTAAATTCACATATAACCAGGTAAATTCTCATATAACTTAGTAAATTCACATAAAACCAGGTAAATTCTCATATAACCAAGTAAATTCACATATAACCAGGTAAATTCACATATAACCAGGTAAATTCACATATAACCAAGTAAATTCACATATAACCAGGTAAATTCTCATATAACCAAATAAATTCACATATAACCAGGTAAATTCCCAAATAACCAAGTAAATTCACATATAACCAAGTAAGTTCACATACAATATAAGTCTAGCATCATATGCCAGAGGCACCGCCTGCGTTAAAAAAAAAGTGTCCTTGACTTTCCCTGGAACACATACATCTGTGGGTTCTGGGGCCACACTGTGGGGGTGGGGGGGAATAGACCAACAGTCCTCTTAACCAGCATGTTGTAAATGTCAAATAAGTAGGGGTGTTTCCTTCAAAGACAAAGTGCATCTGCCTGAGGGGTAAGAAATTAACAGTCTGCATACAAATAAGCCAGATCTGTGAAACAGATATGCACACAAAACTCAAGTTCTGGAACAAGACTCGAGTCCAGAAGTGGAGACACTGGCCAGAGTTTACAGCTGGTGAACACAGAGAAAAAAAAAAAAAGAAGAAGAAACTTGGAACACAAAACAAACACAAGAACACTCACCTTTGGTAATCTCTTATCCCGTCGCAGAGACAAGTAAGCCCCAGCCATTAAACCAACAATATAGGGACCCATTCGACACCAGGGCTTAACGTAGTAATATTCTTGAAAGGTGACATAACTGTGGAGGTTTCAAGACCATAAATTTGGTTCTATTTTGATGTAAACATAATTTTATAACAATTAATCAGGTAATTCGTTTGACATACACATAATTTTACAATAATAAATTAGGTTACTTCTCTTTCTTCGCTGTCACTGGCTGTAAACTCCTGCAGACAAAATTATGGTTGTTCGTCCACTTTTGGACTTTGGTCTTGTTCCATAACTTGAGTTTTCATGCATACCTGTTTTACAAATCTGACTTATTTGTATGCAGTCTGCTGGTTCCGCCCCTCTTAGGCAGAAACACATAATTTTACAAAAATAGATTTGGGTGCTTCTTCTTCTTTGCATTCACCGGCTGTAAACTCCTGCGGACAAAGAGCTGGTTGTTCGTCCACTTTTGGACTTTGGTATTGTTTCACAACTTGAGTTTTTCATGCATATCTGTTTGACAAATCTGACATTTGTATGCTGATTGCTGGTTCCTTTCCTAGCAGGTAGGTGCACTCCCAAAAAGAAACGCCCCTAATTAGTTGATATTTATGACACGCTTGTTAGAGAGCCAGTGGGTCTATTCTTTTCCCCTAAACTGGGGCCCTGGACTTCAGATGGGGAAAAAATTGGGTTACATCTCAATGTATGTCAGAAGTTTAAAAAAATGACTGATTAAGGATTTGTTGAAATCAGATGTGCTGGCCTGAAAAGTGCAGTTATAAATATATACTACAGCACAACTCATTACCCATACTTGGATGGACAAAAGCAAAAAAAAAAAAAAAAAAAAAAAAAAAAAAATCATGGTAATATGACAACAATGATCTTGATGATAATGACTTACCCTCCCCGCTGTGAGGCTGAGACCAGAGTTGGTGGCCATTCATTCTGAGTGGACAACACACCAGTGGTGATCCAAGTGACCAGAAGAAAGACAAGGCAAACAGCTGCACCTACAGCACGATGGCTGGGAATGGAAGCAAGAGGCACATACAGATTAGTATAGTGAAAAGTAAAGTGAAGTACAGCATCTCGGGCAGTATTTCAACCTTGGCAGGGCCCACTCCTCTCTAGGTGGCCATTTCCCTGTTAGCCTGTAGCCTCACGGATACAGTTTCCAGTCTGCACCAGGGGCAGGTTGGGTTGGCTTGTGTGTTCACGGGACAGAAGCAGGCCACTAATTTTTCACTTTTCCCCCTCCTAGAAGATCTAGCTGCCCCAACACTGCTGGCTGCAGTGCTAGGCGTGACCACACCTTACATGCCTCAGGCAAGCAACCATGAAGTCCATCGCCAAAGGTGGAGAGAGCTGATCAGACAGTCAACAGAAAACTGGTGACTCAACGACACGCAGTGTTATGGGATGATGATGATGAAAGTGAAGTAAAGGCCACCTTTCCACGACCTCAGGTGTATTGGGCATTCAGGGCTAGATCTATATTTTATAGAGCTTCTTCTTTGTTCTTCTTCATGTTCAATGGCTGTAAACTCTGGTGGAAAGTTCTGGTTGTTTGTCCATATCACGACTTTAGTCTTGTTCTAGGACCTGAGTGTTACGTGCACATGCATTTCACAGATCCAGCTTATTTTCATGCAGACTGTGGGTTGTGACACTTGTAGCTCTCAATATAGAAAAAAGCCCTGGTTGTGACACTCGTAGCTCTCAACATTAGGAAAAAAGCCCTGGTTGTGACACTTGTAGCTCTCAACATTTCAAAAAAGCCCTCGTTGTGACACTCGTAGCTCTCAACATTAGAACAAAGCACTGGTTGTGACACTGGTAGCTCTCAACATTTCAAAAAAGCCCTGGTTGGTACACTTGTGACTGTAAACATTAGAAAAAAACCATGGTTGTGACACTCGTAGCTCTCAACATTTCAAAAAAGCCCTGGTTGGTACACTTGTGGCTGTAAACATTAGGAAAAAAAACCTCGTTGTGACACTCGTAGCTCTCAACATTAGAACAAAGCCCTGGTTGTGACACTGGTAGCTCTCAACATTTCAAAAAAAGCCCTGGTTGTGACACTCGAAGCTCTCAACATTAGGAAAAAAGCCCTGGTTGTGACACTTGTAGCTCTCAACATTAGAACAAAGCCCTGGTTGTGACACTTGTAGCTCTCAACATTAGAACAAAGCCCTGGCTGTGACACTTTAGCTCTCAACATTATAAAAAACACCTGGTTGTGACACTTGTAGCTCTCAACATTAGAACAAAGCCCTCGCTGTGACACTTTAGCTCTCAACATTATAAAAAACACCTGGTTGTGACACTTGTAGCTCTCAACATTAGAAAAAATAAGCCCTGACTGTGACACTTGTAGCTCTCAACATTAGAAAAAATAAGCCCTGACTGTGACACTTGTAGCTCTCAACATTAGAAAAAAAGCCCTCTATCTCTATCCTTCTTACTGTGGGAGCTAAGGTTGGGTAGCAACTAGATGTCAACCTGAAGATCTTTGGATTAAATTTGCATTAGGTCTGATTTAAAGGGAAAGAAAACTGACTTGGCTCTCCTGTCGACCAAACCTAAAAATTGATACCCGGGGAAGTCCTGGAAAGTGAAGGCTGCCAACACTCGGCTGACCACATCACCCATCAAGTGCCCACTGGTCTAGAAACGTGACTCTAGCATCATATGCCTGAAACACAACTGGCCGCAAAAAAAAAAAAAAACTTCCTTTATTACTTTATCTTCTTCATTTTCATTCACAGTGTGCTCAGGCCTTGGTACAGCAGCCAGCCCTGTTAAGGTTGGTTAGCTTTTCTTCGGAGAGGTGAAAAGTGAAATTTAAGTAGCCTGCCAATGACCCGTAGAACACCCAGGTCAACTCCATCTTTTCGTGGTGCAGGCCGGAAAACTGAAGCAGCAAGGTTTCAAGCTAACGGGACAAGGGCTCGCCTAGAAGGAGATGAGCACCAACCAGGTGAGATATTTTTTTCCTGCCCCTCCATGCGACGGGCCTAGCAAGCCGGTAGTGGTGTAACTCATTGCTACTACACAAGAAATAATGAATTAACAAAGACTACCACAACCACAATTTGAGTGTTAGTGTTTTTTTAATCTTCTCCTTCTATTTATTCTAGTCGTCTTTCCGGTTCTTCTTCTATCTTACAGTGACACACACTTGAAAAAAAAAAAAAAAAACCACTTACAAATAGAATGGAACAATCATCAGTGGACTCAACAGATAGAACTGCATGTCACTGGCCAAGTACCAAGAGTGACCAAAACACTGCAATACAAAAATAATATAAAGTCAATAATAATAAAGAATCTTTAATGTTGCTAGTTATAAAGAATCCATAGTGTTACTAGTTCTTAAATATACTAGTGTCGCTAGTTCTGAAGAATCCATATTGTTATTAGTTCTTAAAAATCCTTAGTATTGCTAGTTATTAAGAATCCTTAGTGTTGCTAGAGATTAAAAAGCATGAAGAACCTCTGGCAAAGCACTAACTAGTAAATTGGTTAAAGTAAAAATCTTGAGATCATGCATTTTCCCTGTGGCAACTTACGGTTGTGAGTCCTGGACTCTCACTCAGTTATTGAGGAAAAAAGATTGGAGCTTTTGAATTGAGATGTTATAGAAAAATTCTTAGAATATCACGGATCAGGAAGAGGAAAAATATCGACATTCTGAACGAGTTGAACATCAAGGAGAACTGGCTCATAAACAGCACCCTGTCACAAGTTGAAGTATTTTGGCCACATCAAGCGCCATGGTGGCTTGGAAAAGATGGTGATGGAAGGTGCAGATTGTGGAAGGCGAGGCAGGGGTCGACCACCTCAAAGATGGATACAGGACACTAAAGATGCATTGGGACCGAATGCACATGGGACTGGAGAGCTGACTAGGAAAAGGAATAATTTCAGGCGTGACGTGAAGAGAGCGACATTCTGTAAAGGACTTGCTGATTGATGATGAGTGTTGCTAGTTCTTAAAAATTCTTAGTGTAGCTAGTTCTGAAGAATCCATAGTTGTTTAGTTCTTTAAAATTCTTAATGTTGCTAGTTATAAAGAATCCATAGCGGTGGTTCTTAAAAAGTCTTAGTGTTGCTAGTTCTAAAGAATCCATAGCGTTATTAGTTCTTAAAAATCCTTAGTGTTGCTAGTTCTGAAGAATCCATAGTGTTATTAGTTCTTAAAAATCCTTAGTGTTGCTAGTTCTAGAGAACACATAATGCAACTTGTTGTAACAAATCTATAGACATTATACATTCTAACATGTTACATAAATAACAGTTATTTGTGACTTCATTAGGTAAAGTTACATTTATTTGTGATTGCAAAAATTAATATAACAGCTACTTGTGACCGTAAAAGTTAACATAACAGTTATTTGTGACTGCAGAATTTAACACAAGTTATTCATGACTGTATCAGCTAAAGTAACATTTATTTATTACTTCATAAGTTAACAGTTATTTCTGTCTGCAGAAGTTAACAAAACAGTTATCTGGGACTATCAAAAGTTTTTATAACAGTTATCTGAGTCTGCGAATTTTAACATAACAGTTGTTTGTGATGGGAAAAAGAAAATAGTTATTTGTGACTGCAAAAGTTAACACAACACTAGTGACTTTCAAAAGATAAAGCAACAGTTATTAGTGAGTGAAAGAGCTAAAGTAGCATTTGCTTGTCACTACAGTAATAGTTATTTGTGACTGCAAATTTTAACATAACAATTACCAGAGACTTTCAAAAGATAAAGCAACAGTTATTAGTGAGTGAAAGAGCTAAAGTAGCATTTGCTTGTCACTACAGTAATAGTTTTTTGTGACTGCAAATTTTAACATAACAATTACCAGAGACTTTCAAAAGACAAAGCAACAGTTATTAGTGACTGAAAGAGCTACAGTAACATTTGCCTGTCACTACAGTAACAGTTATTTGTGACTGTATCAGTTAACGTTAACATCTATTTCTGACTGTAAGGACTAACAATAAACTGCCAATGCTGCCCTACCATTGTCTTCACATCGACCAGGTTGTTGATGTACAGCAGGTTGGTCCACCAGTTGTTCTCGCAGTTCTCTTTATCTCCGGGCTCCTGCGTCGGCCACAGGGGTCCCGAACCCAGGTACTGCTGGAGACCCGTGACTGCTAGCAGGGTCAGCATGTAGGGCGGGGTCAGTCTACCGGAGGCCATGGGGTCAGAGAAAATGGTGAGTGAGAAATGGAGTTTAAAAAAGTTAGGTTGAATTAGGCACACAGACATGTTATAATTAAATATTTTTAAAAAGTAGGAAGAAATGTAATGAATAAAACTTGCAAATAATGACTATTATCTTCTTCTTCGTGTTCACCAATGTAAACTCCGGTGGACAGTTCTGGTTATTCGTCCACTTCTGGACTTCAGTCTTGTTCTGCAACGTGATCTTTGCATTCACATCTGTTTTATGACATGGCTTGTTTAAAAGCAGACTGTTGGTTCCTTACCTCTCAGGCAGATGCACTCTGACTTTGAAGGAAACCCCTTATTACCTTATTAGTTGACTCTTACAACATGTGTCTACCCCCCCCCCCCACCCACCTACGAAGTCACAGTGCATCGACCTGAGCGGCAAGGAACAACCAAATGCACACAAATAAGCCAGTAAAACGGATCTACATGCACAGCTCAGGCCCTGGTACAAAACCAAAGTCTAGATGAGTGAACAACCAGGACTTTCCATGGGAGCTTATAGGGGGTGAACGAAGAAGTCTACTATATATATATACTGGTACCTTAGAAGGGATGCTTGCCACTCTGTAAACAGCATACCTATCTTCACTGTTCTCAACATGCTCTGCGAATCTTTATGGAACGAGTTAACATGTCCTACATCGACCCTCCTATGACATGTCTGGTGTTACTACAAAAGTACTTTTCTTTGCTTCCCCCATAGGTCTATGTAACATAAAAGTATCCGTGGTTACTTGGCACCAATCACAGAATAAGTCCTGATGTTAACAGTAATCATGGAATGTGGACAACTCACCTCCAGAAACGATGAAAATAGAAAAGTGGCCAGTTAATTTTCCATCCACTCTTTTTGATTTCATTTAGTGTGAGATAAGCTGTCAAAAGGCCACTGTTTTACAGAGGAAAGAAAATTGGGTTAGTTTTTAATGCTTACCGATAACACGTTATTTTTTTAAACATTCAAGTACACAAACATAATTCTACTTCTGTATATTTTCGTCTTCTCCTTCTTTTCTTCTTCTATTCTGATGACATTCATGATGATAATGATACTAATGGTGTTGAAGATGATGACAATGATGGTGATGAAGATAAGGATGTTGATGGTGATGAAGATGATGTTGAAGATGATGAGAATGATGTTGTTGATGACATTCATTACGACATTGATGCTGATGGTGTTGAAGATGATTACAATGATGGTGATGATGATAAGGATGTTGATGGTGATGAAGATGATGTCGAAGATGATGAGAATGATGTTGTTGATGACATTCATTATGACATTGATGCTGATAGTGTTGAAGATGATGACAATGATGGTGATGATGATAAGGATGTTGATGGTGATGAAGATGATGTTGAAGATGATGAGGATGATGTTGTTGATGACATTCATTACAACATTGATGCTGATGGTGTTGAAGATTATGATGACGATGATGATGACAATGATGCTAAGAAGCTGGAACTGCGATTAACTGATTACTAGCAATTCTCCTGCTGTACATAATGATAATAAAGATGTTGATGATGACTGATGTTGATAACAACAATGATGATAATGATGAACATATGCACATTTAGCCAGGTCTCTTCTCTTACCTGAGAGTAAAGAAAGTGTCCACAGAAACAAATGCATTAGAAATGGCATCAAATGACCAATCCTTCAACCAGCTCCAAAACAATGAATAGATATTACCTATAATTACAAAATAAAGATCAGAAAATGAGTTGTCCCCACCAGGCAGGTTGAGAGAATGTATCCAATGTTAGCTAGGGGAATATTACAAGTGGAGATGTGCGGACGCAGAGATTCAGCAGCTGACAAACTTCTCACAGGAACATTAAGTAGAGGTACCTTCAAGGGGCTGCTGCTTCAGTAGACAGAGCACACAAGGGAATGCATAATGTGCAGGGACATTGATTATGATAACATACTATAACAACTGCTATAGGACAACACTAGGCCAGGAGATTTGATTGTATACACTGATGGGTCAGTGGTCAAGGGTAGAAAGAGTGGACGGGGCTTTATTTCGGAAGAATGGGGGGAAAAGATTACTGGGGAGGTTGATGGTTTGAGGTTTGAACAATACATCAACATCATGGCACACAGGTAGTATTCATAAGTGCTCCGTTCTTCTTCTAACTCAAGTCTGAGTCCAAAGAAGCTCAGCACAATGCACAGGCTCTATAGCACCGACTAGGATCCTGAAATACTTGGGTAACTCCACATTTTGCCTGGGCAGTGCAGTTAGGCTACTCTTTTCAATTGCCAACTGCCGAAGGAAAACGTGTGCAACAAAGCACACGGGCGTCCCATCTCACTACCCAGAGACCAGGGGGAATTACTAGAAGTCCAAGTCCACATGAAAAAATCCCAGCTTTTACTGGGGATTAAACCCAGAACCTCTATCACTCGAGGCGGTCACCATGCCTCGAGACCATGCAGTCCCCAGGATTACTGGGGAGAGTTTGGCATATGACATTACCACATCCTGCATGAGAATGGAGGTGGAGGCAGTAACTGCCTCTTTCCAAAGGATGCAGAAAATCTCAACCACACGTGCTGTCATAGTATCAGATTTGTAAAGCATGCTCAGGAGGGGGAAGTAGGTTTTCTTCTAACAGAATGGGTCGCAACAATCCAGAGGTTGCAGATGGTGAGAGTCACGTGGATTTTTTGCCCAGGCCATTCAGGCTTGTTTGTGAATGAGCATGTAGACAGTCTGTACAAGGCAGAGATGATCTCTCACCTATGGGGTGAGGTAACAAGTAAAATGGAAGTCATTGAAAACCTGCACCTGGAGAGAATATTGCAGCGGGGGAGTGTTGGTGGGCTCTGGTTGGCCATTTGAGACGCAGGGGGAGACAAGATGAGTATTTAACCACATGACAACAGGTACCATCTGTATGAGATTCTTCGGTGGCTGTTGAGAAAGCAGACGGAGCTAATATGGGCTTGTCCTGAGTGCTGTGATGTCCGATCGTTACACGGATATATAAAGTAAAAGTAAAGTAAGTAAAGGACCTTTTCCAAGATTTCAGCCATACTGGGCATATAGGGCTAGACCTATCAGCAATCAGTGGGTGATGTGGTCAACATCCTGCCAACTGCCTTTACTTCCCCTGACTTTTGCCTGGTACCAATTTTAAAATGGGTCGACCTGATGAACTGCATTTCTAGTGTGGGACTGTTTGTGTTGGCACTTCAGATGGTTACCTAATGCATTTAATGCACCTGTATGCTATTGACTTTGCTGGGTCTGTGTCAATCTTTTTCACAAGAGACACTGGTGGATATTCTGCTGGGTGTTTGTAGGCACAGGAACGGAGCAACTATGGGGCTAACCCGTTTGCTAAGAAGCTGGAACTGCGATTAACTGATTACTAGTCATTCTCCTGCTGTACATTTGAACTCCTCTGCCAACTCAAAACACAGATTGGGTTCGCTAGCTTTGACACTTGTACTATGACTGCTACGAGTGTCTTCCTAACAGTCACTCTGGCCCAGGAAGGCAAACATTTCTTACTCAGTGTCTCACCCCTGTTTGACCTGACTTCACATTAATGTTACATCTTTACTGATACACATCGCATGGATAGGTAATCAACACTGACAGAAACATTTATTTCAGGCTATCAGTCTAGGTAAAGATGAAAATGAAGAAGAAAGAGGAGGAGGAGGAGAAGTAGAATCAGAAGCAGATAAAGAAGATGAAGAAGATGATGAAGAAAAAGGAGGGGGAGAAGAAGAAGGAGCAGAAGAAGAAGAAGAAGAAGAAGAAGAAGAAGAAGAAGAAGAAGAAGAAGAAGAAGAAGAAGAAGAAGAAGAAGAAGAAGAAGAAGAAGAAGAAGAAGAAGAAGAAGAAGAAGAAGCAGCAGCAAAAGCAGAAGAAAAGGATGAGAAAGAAGAGGAGGAAGACGAAGAAGAAGAAGCAGGCAGCAGGAGGAGGAGAAGAAGAGAAAGAAGAAGAAGAAAAAGAAGAAACACTTAAAATACTCACCAAACTGCCGTATACCAAACACCAAAACATGGCCAAGAACTACCCATGACATGCTGAGAAACCTGATGCCATGGACGGCGCTGAGTGTGCCCTCAGGCTGGCTGGTGTTCAACACTTTAGATCCGTTGGTATACACAGAAAATGCTAGTAGCACCTGGGGACATATACCTGGAGAGAGACAAGTTAACTCACCATAAGGTAATCAATATACCTGGAGAGACAGTGTAAAGTAACAATAGGTTGGTTGGCACCTTTCCCTTTTTCTAAATGATAGAGTTACACTGTGTAACAGAACAGAGAGGTAGGGAATCTCATTCCTTGGTGATGGTGAGTGTGACCAGCAAGATCTGCCTATGTTAACTCTTTCACTCCCATAAGATTTCATTGGAGATGCCTAACGAGCACCCAGCCACAAGGAATAAAGCACACATGCATTATCTTCAAACGGGTAAAATAAAACTTTGAACATATCAAGTCCGACAATTAAGTAATAAGACTGACTCTTTTCTGGCCAAGACAAAAATGCCATCTATGAAGCAAAGCATGGAATCTAAAGAGGCAACATTAATCTATGATCTAGCAACTTCTCATAGCTGCTCGTTAAGCAGACAACAAACAAGCCGCCATTTTGGTGACCAAGTCAGAGGTGCATTGTTATGTAATCAGCATAGAGCAAAAAGCTATCATCAAATTCTTTTTAAAAATCAGAAAAAGTGCTATTGAAACAGATGAATTGATGCAACAAGTTTATGAGGATAATTGTTTATCTTGTGCACAAATTTTCAGGTGGTATTCACGATTCAAAAGTGGTGTGGAAAAATTACTGGACACCAAATGACTGTTTGTAATGATGAACTCATTGCAAAAGTCAGAAAACGGATAAATGAAGATCATTGTTTTACTGTCAGGATTATGGCAGATGAATCTGGTGTTAATAGAGAGACCATTCATAACATTTTAGTGCAAGATTTTATATTTTTCCATACCTACCCACATAACCACTCTCCTGTTTTTTACATCTGACATTAGCAAGTAAACCCGTAGTCTCAGTGATAGGTGCTTGGTTCTCTTCCTCATTAATGATATGACTGTGACCTGGTAGAGCTGGATCACTGGCTGGACAATCATCAGCCTGTGTGGTGGCTTTCCCCTTCGGCCGTTGGATGAAAACAAGGTCAAAACCGGTGCCAATGACCATCAGCATGCCGATGATGACAATTATGGCTCTGCAGTGAGGAATGATGACAGAACTAAATGCACGAATAAATAAAGTAAGGAAAAAATTACAAGTTTTTCTTCTTTGCATTCACCCGCTGTAAACTCTGAAGGAAAATCCTAGTTGTTTGTCCCTTTCTATATTTCAAAGTCTTCAGGTTTTAAGTCTGGCACTTTATTTTTAATTTATCCCAAACAAAGGAAACTCTCGAGTTATTGTGAAAGTGCAACATTCTAGGGGTGTTATGGGTTAGGGTTAGGGTTAGGATCTGTGTCAGCCCCTACCCTATCAGAGACACGGAAGAACCCTAACCCTAAGTTTAACTTTAACTCTGACCCTAACCCTAAGCCTAATCCCAACCCATTATGCCCCTAAAATATTGGACTTTCCCGGGAACGCCAGGATTTTCTTTGTTTGGGGTGAATTAAAAATAGTACCCGAAGTGTTGCATGCAAATCCATTTTACACATCTGGCTTTTTTGTGTGGAGAACCGCTGGCTTCCTCCCCTCTCAGGCAGATGTACTCCGACTCTGAAGCAAACATCGATCCTATCTACGTTGGCACCCGGCTGGGAATATGCTTCTAGAAAGACAGTGGAGATCTGTAGAAAGGTCTTGACCAGTAGCAGCCATGTTCCTGGTGAAACGCTACAGGTGGTTTAGCAACTCTGCATCCTAGGAATGAATTCAGAAAGTGGCACTGCTTGACTGGGAACTTTCCCTACCTGCCCTATCCCCCCTATCCAGCAGTAGTGGAGAGTTCCCATATCCATGGTGTCAGTGGAGATATCATGAAAAGTCTGCCCCTCTTGCTTTAGTGAACATGAGTCTAACATCATATGCCAGATACACCACTAGCGTAACAAAGGGTCATTTAATTTTTTTTTTTAACTTTCATTTTAGTTAGTGGAAAATAATTTATTGGAAGATAATTTAGATGAGGATAAATTAATGGAAGATAAATGAGATGAGGATAAGTTAATGGAAGATAAATGAGATGAGGATAAGTTAATGGAAGATAATTTAGATGAGGATAAGGTATTGGAAGATAAATTAGATGAGGATAAGTTACTGGAAGATAATTTAGATGAGGACAAGTTTTTGGAAAATAATTTAGATGAGGATAAGTTATTGGAAGATAAATGAGATGAGGATAAGTTAATGAAAGATAATTAAGATGATGATAAGTTAATGGAAGACAAATAAGATGAGGATAAGTAAATGGAAGATAATTTAGATGAGGATAAGTTATTGGAAGATAATTTAGATGAGGATAAGTTATTGGAAGATAATTTAGATGAGGATAAGTTATTGAAAGATAATTTAGATGAGGATAAGTTAATGGATGATAATTTAGATGAGGATAAGTTAATGGAAGATAATTTAGATGAGGATAAGTTAATGGTAGATAATTTAGATGACGATTAGTTTTTGGAAGATAAGTAAATGGAAGATAATTTAGATGAAGATAAGTTAATTGAAGATAAATGAGATGAGGATAAGTTAATGGAAGATAAATGAGATGAGGATAAGTTAATGGAAGATAATTTAGATGAGGATAAGGTATTGGAAGATAAATTAGATGAGGATAAGTTACTGGAAGATAATTTAGATGAGGACAAGTTATTGGAAAATAATTTAGATGAGGATAAGTTATTGGAAGATAAATGAGATAAGGATAAGTTAATGGAAGATAATTTAGATGATGACAAGTTAATGGAAGACAAATAAGATGATGATAAGTAAATAGAAGATAATTTAGATGAGGATAAGTTATTGGAAGATAATTTAGATGAGGATAAGTTATTGGAAGATAATTTAGATGAGGATAAGTTATTGAAAGATAATTTAGATGAGGATAAGTTAATGGATGATAATTTAGATGAGGATAAGTTAATGGAAGATAATTTAGATGAGGATAAGTTAATGGTAAATAATTTAGATGACGATTAGTTTTTGGAAGATAAGTAAATGGAAGATAATTTAGATGAAGATAAGTTATTGGAAGATAATTTAGATGAGGATAAGTTAATGGAAGATAATTTAGATGAGAATAAGTTATTGAAAAATAATTTAGATGAGGTTAAGTTAATGGAAGATAATTTAGATGGGGATAAGTTTATGAAAGATAATATAGATGAGGATAAGTTAATGGAGGATAATTTAGATGAGGATAAGTTATTGGAAGATAAATTAGTGGAAGATAGGTTAGAGGAAGATAAGTTAGAGCAGCAGTTCTCAACCTGTGGTTGGCGACCCTTTTGTGGGTTGAATTACCCTATTACAAGGGTCACCAAAGACCATCAGAAAACACATATTCACTGAAGTTATGAAGTAGCATTGAAAATAGTTGTATGGTTGGGAGAAACTGTATTAAAGGGTCGCTGCATTAGGAAGGACAAGAACAACTGAGTTCTTAAAAAGAGACTGGAATAGAAAGAGACAGAGTGAAAGAAAGACAGGGAGAAACAGAGACAAAGAGAGAAAAAAAGAAACAGAGAGAGACACATACAAAGTCAAGGTCAGAACAAAACAGAGACAAAAAGACAGAGCGAAAGAGAGAGACAGACAGATTAGACAGGCACAGAAAGAAACATAGACAAAGAGACAAAGTAAGAGAGAAAGACACACACAGAATATGAAATGGACAGAGGGAAAACAGAGACAAAGAGACAGACAGAGTGAGAGAGACAGAGAGAGAGAGAGAGAGAGAGAGAGAGAGAGAGAGAGAGAGAGAGAGAGAGAGAGAGAGAGAGAGAGAGAGAGAGAGAGAGCGAGAGAGAGAGTGTGTGACAGAGAGAGAAAAGAGAGAAAGAGAAACGGACTCACTTTCAATGTGTGATCTGGAGTCATATTTTATGGATTGGGCGGGGTGGGGGTGGGGGAATCAACTCCTCATTAAGAAGCATGTCGTAAATGTAACAAATTGAAATCAGATGTCTTTGGCCAAAAGGTGCAGTGCAGCTGTAAACCACAAGATATTGTGCAAACAACTCTTTTAAGAGCAAAAAATAAGAAGAAGAGGAGGTGAAGGAGGAGCAGAAAGAAGAAGAAGAAGAAGCAGAAAAAGAAGAAAAGCGGAAATGGAGGAGGAAAAGAAGGAGGACGACGACGACAAAAAAAAAAGGATAAGAGGAAGAAGAAGAAAGGGGAAGAGGAGGAGGAGCAGAAAGAAGAAGAGGAAGCAGAAGGGGGAGGAGGGGGAAGTAGAGGAGGAGGATCAGAAAGAAGAAGAAGAAAAAAAAGAAGAAGAAGCAGAAAAAGAAGAACAAGAAGAAGAAGAAGAAGAGGAGGAGAAGGAGGGGGAGAAGAGGTGGAGGAGGAGGAGAAGAAGAAGTGGAGGAGGAGGAGAAGAAGAAGATGAAAAGGAGGTGAAGGGGGAGACAGATAAAAAAGAAGAAGAAGCAGAAGAAGAAGATGAAGAAGAAAGAAAGAGGAGGAGAAGAAGAAAAGAAGAAGGATTCACAGATCAACAAACAAGATTCAAGCATGACACAACAACTGTATAATGGACATGTAGTTCACAGTTGAATCCTCACATGGCGACAACTGTCACTGACGTCATCTCTCTGTCTGTCGTGTGGCACTCCGCCGCCTCCGTCTGTAGGGTCCCATTGATACCGAGCAAGTGGATCACTGTGAATGAAAACCGCTTCAAGATGACCTATTAAAGGTTAAAGGTAAGGGAATTGACTTCAGTACAGTTGGTTTCATCCCATACGGTTCGGTCTCTCTCGACACAGAATGGCCAGCTGCCTGCCGAGAGCACCACACAAAGCACTCATTTAGTAGCTCTGGTTACAATAGATATAAAGTAAAAGACATTTCTCTACACCTGCAGGCATATCTGGCATTCAGAGCTAGACTGAAATTCTACAGACCAGTCGGCACTCAGTGGGTGATGGTCATCTTTGCTTCCCAGGACTTTACCTGGTAACCGGTTTAAGGCTGGGTCGACCTGGGAGAAAAGGTCATTTATGAAAAAAAGTGGGGCTCCAACAGGACCTAAATCAACAACCTTTGGATCTGCAGGTTTTCCTGGTGACAGAGATCTTCATAAAAATTTACAAACTGAATGATGCCACCATGAAATGAACCCTTGATCTTCACAGCATAAGGCAAATGTGTTTGACCACGAACCATTACGACCCCTTGAAGACTGATTACCTATTAACATATTGGAAAGTGGTGGCAATGGTCACTCACTGGCTAGATTCTTGGTTGCTGAAAGTACTATGCGCTGATATGAAGCGATCCACTAAATGAGGAGGAGGAAAAGATGACAGAGAAGGAGGAGGAGATGAGAAAGAGAAGAAGGGGGAGAAACAGAAGAAAGAGAAGGAGTAGGAGATGGAGAAAGAGAAGAAGGAGAGAGAGAAAGAAGCAGAGGAGCAAAAGGAAGAGAAGGAGGAGGAGATGGAGAAAGAGGAGGGGAAGAAAGAGAAGCAGGAGATGGAGAAAGAGCAGAAGGAGAAAGAGAAGGAAGAGAAGGAGGAGAAAGAGGGGGAGATGGCAAAAGAAGAGGAGGAGATGGAGAAAGAGAAGAAGGAGAAAGAGAAAGAAGCAGAGGAGGAAAAAGAAGAGAAGGAGAAGGAGATGGAGAAAGAGAAAAAGGAGAAAGAAAAAGAAGCAGAGGAGGAGAAGGAAGAAAAGAAGGAGGAGATGGAGAAAGAGAAGAAGGAGAAAGAGAAGGAAGAGGAGGAGAAGAAAGAGAAGCAGGAGATGGAGAAAGAGAAGGAGGGGAAATGGAGACAGAGCAGAAGGAGAAAGAGCAGAAGGAGAAAGAGCAGAAGGAGAAAGAGAAGGAGAAGAAAGAGAAAGAGGGGGAGATGGCAAAAGATGAGGAGAAGATGGAGAAAGAGAAGGAGAAAGAGAGGAAGAAGAAGAAAGAAAAAGAGGAAAAGATAAAAAGAAAATAGAGACTGATAAGAGGAAAAAGAAGAAAGAGGAAGAGGAAGAGGAAGAGAAGAACTTTATATTCAAAATACCAGAGTTTGAACTAAATAACCTAAAATAAGTTTGTGGGAACTTTACCACACAAGAGAAAACAACATGTGACTTCTACATAAAGCACTGAAACATCACATGATTGCTGGCAATGACTCAAGGGTCACGTGACAATGTTCAATGCTTCTAAAAATAACTGTCCTTTCTCAAGATGTCATCTGACTGGTTCACACTGAGCAAATAACTTTGCTCACTCAAGTGTAACATAACTGGCTGGTGAAATATTGACCTCGTGACCCATCTAGTGCTGGCTTATCTAAAAAATATGGGGTCGGCATCATGTTCCCTTGCATGGAGTAGAAATATGGAGAACAACTAGGGTAATTACTAATAAACTACAAACATTCATTAAATGTTGCATGCACAGAATAGAGAGAATTAAATTGTATGATAGAATCAATAATGTAGAGTTCTGGGAGAGAACTAAACAAGTTTTAGTGGACCAGGAGGTGAAGAAAAGACGCCGTCATTGGATGGGACACTTGTTAAGAAAACCTGAAAATAAAATAACTAGAAAATCTTTGCACTGGAACCCACAGTGAAGAGAAATAAAAGAAGACCAAAAAGCACACGGAGAAGGGAGCTAGAGTTAAGTTGAAAAGATGAGGAGGACATGGGAAAAGCAGCATGCGATTGTGAAGGATAGAATGAATTGGTGTGAGTTAGGTTGAGGGCCTGTGCTCCATTGGGGGCTAGAAAGGTAGAAAAAGAAGATCATCTACCCATTAGCTGTAGTAAGGCAGTGGCTAGCATGTTTGGCTTTTAGCTTGCCTTGGACATATGGTGACAAACTGATTTGCTTTAAATAAAGTGATGACTGATGATTGGCACCTTCCAGACAATAGTGTTAAATTGTGCTATGAGGAGGCATGAGACTAACAGCCCATGGCGATGGCGACTGTGACTAGCACAACCCGCCGTGTCAAGAAAAGTCTTCCACAATCATAGCATGGGATCTCAGGACCATTTTTGACAACATTTATGTTAAATCCATTTCTTTTCAGACGCTCAACTCTCATCCTTTTTGCAATCATTTCTTCCTTCACTCTCATTCCCTTCCTGAAATGCCTTTCCACACAACATGGTTCATAGCATTTTGTTCCCATGAGTCCACCTCAATTGCTGTATCATTCATGTCCCGCTTGCACACATCTGTATACCGTAACAGAGGTCGGCCACGACAAAGTAACAAAAGAAGAATAAGCAGGTAAGCATAGTAACCACCATACTATCAATCTTGCTTAAGTATTATGGTGCTAACTCATATATCGACCAGTCAGCAAATTAGATGTGCAGTTTGGTTAATATCACACTGGTCACCTTTACTTCCCTGGACGTTTTCTGTTACCCATTTTCGGCGGTGTCAACCTAGGAGCTCAAATCAATTAAAAAACATCATGGCCATGATGGAAGTTCCTTCTTTTTTTTCTTTGCGTTCACCGGGGGTAAACTCTGGAGGAAAGTTCTGGTTGTTCGTCCACTTCTGGACGAACAACCAGAACTTGAGTTCTGCTTTCATATACGTTTTACAGATCTTAGTTATTTGTATGCAGACTGCTGGTTCTTCATCTCTTAGGCAAATGCACTCCTACTTTGCAGAAAACACCCCTAATTATTTGATGTTATGACATGCTTGTTGGGGGGGGGGGGGGGGGTGTATGGATCTATTCCCCCCTCCCCACAATGGTGCCCTGAAACACAGATGGGGGATTCAAACATGAGACAACCAGGTAAGCAGGCAAGTATGCTAGCTATTCCGCTCACATTAAATGCCCTAATTCAGTGGTTCCCGATTAGACAAGACCTGCGAACCCCTCTCAGTTTTTAAGGCTTGCAACAGACCCCTTACTTTTCAATAATTTAATAATCCTACTTTAAGAAAAAAAAAAAGAGTAAATCTATATTAGAATTGCAGAAAGGAGGGTTGATCTTTCTTCAAACATTTATCACGGACCTCTTAAATTTGTTCCGCAGATGACCAGCTGGGAACCACTGACCTAGTTTGTATTCTCTTCACGAAGTAGGGTGCAGTGTGCTGCGGACCCAATCTTTAGCCTACATTCTAGTTTCACACCTCCTATGAAAAGTGTCTTTCATTTTGTAATTCTTCGTTATTTGAAGCCCTACACTGGCTCTTGCCAGGGGCCGCAATATAGCCTGGCCTAAATATGGTCTAATGGCTGAATGCGGTTTCTGAGACCTCTCCACAGTGATCCTTGGTCCAACATATCTGATTTCAGAATCTCTATTTCTTCTTCTTCTTCTCTAGTCATGTTCTGCCTTTCAGCGTCAGGTTTTAAACAGGCATTAGTATGTGCTGTATATGTGACGTCTGGCTCTGCTTCCATTGTGTCTAAGTGACAGGGCTCTCTGGTGCACTATCTGATGGTAGTCTTGACCTTGACCGGTTACAGCTGACGGGCTGTGCTGCTGACGTCACCAGGTGGAGCTAACAATGCGTTAACGCAGCATTTTTTAAACGGGGGGGGGGGGGGGGGGGGGGGGGGGGGGGGGGGGTGGGGGGGGGGCGAGGCCCCCGGGAGGCGTGAGCATATGCCAGGGGTGCTGTGACAAAAATCCAGAAAAGTCAGCTAAAAATTGTTAAATTATTAAAGAGGGCATGTAGATACTTAAAAGTTAAAATTTAAGTTGTCTTCCCTCGCCACTATCGAAAATAGTTTATGTCTTGTTTAGGAATCGCTGTGTTAATGCATCGTTAGCCCGACCTGGTGATGTTGTCAGCATGGCCCATCAGCTGGAGCCGGTCGTGTTCTGACACATGTCCAAACCATTTAATCTGTTGTATCTTGATTCTTAAATCAGTAATCAGATGTAGTTTAATACTGGTTGCATCCCAACTTCTTTCCCGATATTGTCATTTCTGACCCTGTCTCTTTTAGTAACATTTAGGATTCACCACAGATAGTTCATTTCCCCTATTTAGCTGCCTTTTAAGACATCCCCTCGTAACAAATGGGGCACAGGAACACACAAAGCGTATGTGGACAAAATGAAAAAGACAATTTCCTAGGACATAAAGAAAACACACCTTCATCCACAAATAAAGTGCTGTCCTCGGATGAACACGTGTCCGGCATGCAAGCACCTAACTGGAGAGACAGCAGATCCATCGGACTTGGCGGCTGCGCAGAGGAGAATGTACAAACTTGTTATGCACATGCTTCATTTGTTTTTATTATTATTTGATTACCTTCTTCTTCATAGCTGTAAATCCCGGCAGAAATGTCTGGTTGTTCATTCATTTCTTAACTGAAAACTTGTTCCATAACTTGAGCTGTGTATGCACAATCCTTAACAGATCTGGCTTATTTGTATACAGACTGTTGGTTCCTCGCCTCGCAGGCAGATGCACTCCAACTTCGAAGGAAACTCCCCTAATTAGTGGCCCTGTACGGCACATTTGTTAGGGAGAACCACATGTGGGAAGCTTAATTAGCTGACAGCAACAGAAATTGCTAGCTGGAAATTAAAAAAATGTGCTTACTCCTAAACTTGCTTTGAGTGTGCAGTAGTTTCCATGGAATCTGCGACTGCCATCTGTGGACAGGGCGGAAATCCTTCGACATTGGCTGTAGTCTCCGACAAAGTTAACTCTGAACTCTAATAGTCCTGGGCCTGGCTTTCCAAATGAATCTAGAACTGTAAGTAAGTAACACAATGATGAACTAAATACATATAGTCGTATAAGTAGTAGTGGTGGTGGTTGTAGTAGTAGTAGCAGTAGTATTTGCAGTAATAGTAGCAGCAGCAGCAGTAGTCGTAGCAGCAGCAGTAGTAATTTTAGTAGTAGTAGATGCAGCAGTAGTAGCACCAGAAGAAGAAGAAGTTGTAGTCATGGCAACATCATTAACTAAGTATTAATAGTAGAAACAGTAGTAATAGCAGCAGCAACAGTAGCAGTAGTAGCAGCAGCAGCAGTAGTCGTAGCAGCAACAGTAGCAGTAGTAGCAGCAGCAGCAGGTGCAGTGGTAATAATAGTGGTAGTAGTCATAGTAGTAGTAGTAATAGCTATAGTAATATTGGCAAAATTAGTAGTTTGTTACAGCAGAAGAAGTAGTAGCAGTGGCAGCAGCAGTCACAGCAGGAGTAGGAGTAGTAGTAGTCGTAGCAGCAGCAGCAGCAGCACTGTTAGCAGTAGTGATGGTGGTGGCAATAGTAGCAGTAACTGAAGTAGTAGCAGCAGCAGCAGTAGTAGTGGTCCAATGACAGACATTTCAATGTAAAGTGTTACATTTTCACATATTCTAGGCCAAATTCTAGTTCTAAAATTTGTTTCACCGGTGCACCCTTGACGGACACACACACAAAATGTGCGGCACACCTACCCTTAAAGCGGGTTGAATACTTAGGAAAATAAGAAACAACAGCGCACATTTAATGATCAAATTGTCTTTAATGCGATGAATGAAACTGTTTGGATGATTTTTTCATTATTTTCTTTATGTTTATGCAAAGTTTAGTTCATTTTACACTCAAGTCACTTGACCCAGACAGTTTGCTCCTGTATCTGTTTTCCATTTAAGTGTATGGTGAGTATGCATTGCAGCCTTGCCAATAACATTGTCTTCTGTATACATCTGCATCAAGAACTCTTCCTGGCTTCCATCGCAGTATTTCTGTTTTAAACTGCTGTCTTCACTGATTTCAAACAGATTTGGAAAAATTATTGATTACTGCCATGGTACCCCTGACATACGCTCACAGCACCCCTGGGTGCTGCAGCACCCAGTTTGAAAACCGCTGTTCTAAGCTATAACTTTAAGCTACAGTGGACAGGTCTCTTTTCTATAAACTCTCCTTGCCAGAAAAGACTCAAAGCTATCTGGCACTCATTATTATGAGTCCTTTAAAGTCACAATATCCTTTAAAGTCACAATATAACTGCCTGAGAAGAAAAGACGCTGGCGTTGGATAGGACATGCTGAGAAAACCTGAGAACAATATAACTAGAATGTCTTTGCAGTGAAACCACAGGGGCAAAAAAATAAAGGCAGACTAAAAAAACGCTTGCAGAAGGGAGCTTTTAAAACATCGCAAAAGTTTTGAGAGAACAATCATGGAGGGCTATATGCTTGGGAAGAGAGGAGGAGTAAGGCCAAAGAGAAAATGGGTGCAGGATGTAGCGAATGATCTCCTAGGTCACCTGGCGAAAGGATGTTTTTTCTACGTCACCCGTGAAAATGTTTCCCTAGGTCACTGGGCGAAAGTTTTTTTCCCCCCGAGTCACCGGGCGATCGGTTTTTTTTTCCTAGGTCACCGGGCAAAAAGTATTTTCCTTGGTCACCGGGCTGAAAGGTTTTTCTAGGTCCCTGGGGTGAAAGGTTTTTTCCTAGGTTGATAGGGGTGAAATGGTAAAGGATCCTTTTCATGTCTTTAGCACATCAGGCATATAGGGCTCACTACATTAAAAAATTACCATAATGATTAGTAGTCAATACTCACACCGCAAAGCCCACTTGTGCCTCTGAAACAAGCTGATAATAAACAGAGACGTATCATTAACACAAGCAGAAGATGAGGTGCCCACTGCCATTCTCTTCGTGGCAGACAACAGCAACTCCTGCAGGTTTACCCCCTCTGCCCGATCACTACCATCTGTAAGGTTTGTTGAAGACTTTCCATACACATGATTTCTGAAGGCTCCTGAGAGTCCTAGCAAAGTTTCTGACAGTTTCTCAAGTTCTTGTTGAACAATGAAGCTTTCGAAGACCTGTCTCTGTTGAGCCAGCTTGTTGATGTAGGAGATTTCGTCAAAATATGAACGACTGCCATGGGCCCCAGCCCACTTGTGATTACTCTTAGTGCTAAACTGTCCACTGACTGATATCACAGTCATAATCAAGAAAGTGGCTATAACTGTACAGCCTGGGTTCAACTTTGCCATTATGGTTGCGTAGAATCGTTCTTCAGAGAAAATGGTTACCCACACGTACTGTTACTCACACCCATGTGATGAGAAAACTTTGTAAAATACAATTTTTACAGATGGAAATCTGAAATATATAATTTGTAAAACTTTGGCGGTTAAAGGTAAAATGAAAGAATTTAAATAATGCGGATACAAACAATACATTGCACAATTTATTGCCAGGCATATTTCGCTGTATCTCATCAGGTGCGTTACTACAGAGTTACATTAACATAGAATAAAGCACAAAACTTAATAAATTCAACTGATATGCAAATAGTTTCTTCGATACATTGTCTCTGTTTCATGGCCGCCGGAAGCTCACCGTAGTCACATGACGTACCAGGGTAACTTCACATTTACGATAAATTCCGTTTGCTTACAAAGAACGGGGTTGTTGATTTTTATTGTTAAGGCTTGGGCGATTCTCAAAAGTCTCCTGTTCGGAGAGTGGAAAACCACACGGAAAGCACTTATGGGTCAGTTACGTGTCCGGAATTAAGTAGAGGGCGTCCTATGGAAGAAGCGGGTTCTTTCCTCTTGACTGGTCTCGACACCCTAGAAGAATCACTGAGCTGTGTATGTAGCCATTTGGGTATGTGCTCTGCCACTCTATTTCCAATCTGTCTCTCCGTTCGACCGATGTAAGTCAGCTGGCACTTTCATGTAAATAGGTAAATACAATTACATTTGGTGAACGGAGAAAGGAGCTGTTGAATAGGTGGGGTTGGGATTTTTTTTTTTTTAACGTATCCAGAAACCATGAGTTGTAAACCCTTTGGCTCGGTACTATGGATATCGCAACCCTTCGGCCTTGATTCCATTGTAATTACCGTAAATCTGGGAGAAATGTGGCTTTTCTGCCTACCCCCGGGAGTGAACCCGGACCACATGGAGTTCGCCACCCGGCCGCCGCGAAAGTCAGGTTTAACCAACTTCGCTAGAGAGCCGGGCGTGGGGTTGGGATAGGAATGGTCTTGTACCTCACTACTGGTACAGCCACAAAGAATGTTTGGCCAACTGCTGATACAAACAATACATTGTACAATTTACTGCCAGGCATATTTCGCTGTATAATGAAAGATGTAGTATTTTTTCCAGAATCTACTGTTCAACCTTTAGGGTTATAATTGTAATATATAGTGTTAATTGCGTTCTCAGAGTATTTATTTGTTATATTAAATTTATATGTCATTACTTATACCAGCTAGACTCTCACTGCGGATCGAAAGGTCGTGGGTTCGCTCCCTGGCAGAGCCGGACTTTTTTAAAAATTGACTTTGGCTCCCAAGTCAACCCAGCCTTGAGTGGGTACCGGGTGCAGGAAACAAGGCTATGTTCCAAATAAAGGTCCCAAATTATCGAGGCCAAAAATATACCCTAACAGGGCCTCAGTCACATGTCAATTGCAGACTTCGGGGACTATCCCGCCACCGCCGAGAGTATCTCCCATGCCGCTATGTGCAGTGTGGACTGGGGCTAAACTAGATGGCTGGGACTCACGAGCAAACAAAATAAAGGAAGCTGCAGGAGATGTGGTAGCTGCTGCTTATGAGTTCCAGTCATCTAGTTTAGCCCAAATCCATGCTGGGCGTAACGGCGTAGGAGATACTCACGGCGGTGGCTGAAGTCATCGGAAGCGCGCAATTTAAGATGCCGGAAGTCCGCAATTGACATGTGACTGAGGCTCTGTTAGAGTATTTTTTCGGCCTCGATAATTTGGGACTGTTATTCGGAACATAGCCTCGTTTCCTATTCTTAGCTTTCACTGGCTGTAAACTCCACCAGAAATTTCTGGTTGTTCATCCCCTTCTAGACTTTGGTCTTGTTTCAGATCTTGAGTTTTGTGTGCACATCTGTATCACAGAGCTGGCTTATCTGTATGCAGATCGTTGATTTCTCTCCTCTCAGGCAGATGCACTCCTAATCTAAAGGAAACACTCCTAATTAGTCAACTTTTACGACGTGCTTGTTGGGGGCGGGAAAGATTTTGGTGGGTCCTTATGTCCCCCCTCCCCCCCCCCCCCCCCCCCCCCCCCCCCCCCCCCAAAAAAAAAAACATGGGATTCCTGAACCCACACAGGAATAATTATACCAATACCTTCCACAACATTTCTACTAGCATGCAGTGGCTAAAAATTTTATAGAACTAGACAATCTATCAAAGTCACAAGAAATATAATCACACAGTAGGAGATTTGCAAACAAATGTTTACAATAAATAAATTTACAAATATCTAATAAAGAATGAGTTAACATAACTTTTATGGAAGTAAAAGCGACTTAAATTTAACTACCTGTGGCAGTAAATAATTGCCTCAATTATCCTGACAACACTCTGCAAACCTGTGTTATCTTTTAAAAAAAAAATGTTAGTTGTGTATCCTTTACAGGACATTGCAGAACCAACCCCAGCCTTTATTGGCTGTTGTGGTTTTTCTAGGCAAATTTTACTTCAGTAGTTTGTCACTGCTTGCTGAACAGTCAGCTCTCAGTAACTCTGTCGAAACCAGAGCAAGACAAATCGTCTGCAGCAGGGATCGAACCCAGCACCCCGGCATTATGAAGCACGTTCGCAACGCATAAGCCATTGACACCTTCTCGTAACATAATAATATATAAATGTCAGTCAATACTGTGGTCTCCCAGATTTAAAAAGAAAAAATTATTTCATGTGAAGTTGAATTCGACCTATGATTTCTACTTCCCGAACTATTCTCCCGTCCTCTGAGAGTACAAGATATTTTAACTTGCTTCAGAGTCATCATCCTCATGTAGCAGGTCCTTTGCAGAACGTCGCTCTCATCACAGTCTGCCTGTAAGAAACTCGGTCTCTTGCCAGTTCTCCCGCCTCATGTACTTTCACACTCAAGGAGTCACTTATATCCTGTGCCCATCTTCGTGTCGGTCGGCCCCTACCCCTCCTTCCTGGTACCATGCCTTCTGCTAAAATTTTTTCCAATCCGTCGTGGCGTTTGCTATGACCAAAATATTTCAGCTTTCGAGAAAGGATGCTATTTATTAGCCAGTCTTCCTTGATGTTCAGATCTTTTAAGATGTCAATATTTCTCATCTTTGTCCAAGATATTCTGAGAATCTTTCTATAGCATTTCAGCTCAAAAGCCCCTATTCTCTTTCTTAAGGACTGAGAGATAGTCCACGACTCACATCAGTATGTAGCCACATGGAAGATGCATGCTCTAATTTTTATCTCCTTGCTGGTGCTTAACCATAGACTTTTAACGCTGTTCAATCTTTGCATTGCTATGGTCATCCTCCTTTTAATTTCTGTCGAACAGTATCCATTGTTGTTTATTATAGAGCCTAGATATTCAAAGTTTGTGACATTTTCAATTTCTTCATCATTTATTTTTATTTTTGGGTGACAGCCAGTTTCATCTGTGGACATTATTTTTGTTTTATTTAAATTCAAGAACAGATTTTGATCTTCACTGTGCTTTTGGACGGACAATTTTAAATTTTCTATTCCCTTTACGCTGTTCGAAAGGAGGGCTGTGTCATCTGCGTAGCGGAGTTCCGGAATAGGGTTGCCACCAATTTTGAGCAGATCATAACTCTCACAAGTCTGGTCATTTTTGACATTTCTCATTATATTTTCTGCGTATATATTGAATAGGTATGGTGAGAGAATGCACCCTTGCCTCACCACCTTTTGCACTTCGAACCAATCAGATGTTTCACCAGCTGCTCTGATGGCTACTTGTTGTTCATGATAGAGATTTTCTATTAAATGCACTAAATGTGCTGGAAACCCCATACTTTTCATTATAGTCCACAGTTGGTGGTGCTGGACACAATCAAATGCATTTCAGACAAGTACCAGAGGTTTTTATGTTTTGAACAATGGAACAACATCATGACACACAGGTGTAACGATAAGTGCTCCGTTCTTCTTCTAACTCAAGTCTGAGTCCGAAGAAGCTCAGCACAGTACACTGTAGCACCGGCAAGGATCCTAAAATACTTTGGGTAGATTTTCAACTCCACATTTTGCCCTGGAAGAGCCGTTAGCCTACTCTTGTCGATTTCTAACTGCCAAGATATTTTTTTACGTACGCGACAATGCACACGGGCGTCCGATCTCACTACCCAGAGACCAGGGGGAATTACTAGTATTACTAATTAGACAGGTCCAGCAAACCTGTAGGGAATTTATTTGTTCACGGGAAATTGCTCAAGAATTATGGAGGAATTTGAAGAAAAAAGCGTACTTCTACAGCGCTCATATTACAAGGGGTACAAGGACAGTTACTAGAGAACATCATAGCCATGTACCACACAAGCCAAAGTGCAGTAAAAACACAAGAAGGCATATCAGATATGTTCACAGTCAACACAGGTGTGAGACAGGGATGTGTGCTCTCCCCACTTTTTTTTAACATCTATATAGACAGAATATCTAAAGAAGCAAGTTATGATACAGACAACATAGACCTTTATAATCACGAGGAAGTACATACATCAGGAGAAGTAATCGATTCACCCACATTAAATGAACTACTGTTTGCTGACGACCAGTGCTTGTTCTACCCTGAAGAACATAGACTGCAAGACCACATTAACAGGTTAAACTCAGCATGTAGTAAATACAACATGAAGATCAATGTAAACAAAACCGAAACAATGCAAGTTAGTAGACATTCTGCCCCACTACACATACAGCTTAATGGTTCTGCTCTGAATCAAGTTAGGGAGTTCAAATATCTAGGAAGTATGATCACAGAAGATGGTAGAATTGACAGAGAAATAGAAACCAGATGTCAGAAAGCAAGTGCACTTATATACCAATTGTCACCATTATTAAGACATCCAAGCATAACTATGAGTGCAAAGAGACAGATTATTAATAACATATTTATTCCAGCATTAAGCTACCAGTGCAAAACATGGACACTATCTAAAGCCCATATACGCATAATCACCACCTGCGAGATGAGGTGCCTGAGAAAAGCAGC